AGCCAAAGAAAACCATCGAAATTCAAAATATAGGTAGAAAAAAAGGACGGACAGGGTGTTCAACAGAACAACCCCCGGTGTACACCATGGTCGCCCTGCTGACCTGGTCACACGCCTGTCCTTCACACGGCTTCCATTTCTCCCTTCTTACTCGCACCTTCATAATCTCAAAGTATGCCCTCTCCCTCTTCCTCCTCTCTTCTTAATAACGATCGATCGTGCGTTAACCAAAGATCGAAAGGTGTAACGCAAATGCAAAATCATAATAGGGGGAAGGGGAGGGATACAAAATAAAATACATGTTGCGTGTGCAGAGTAGAGGGATGGGGGGGGGGGGAGGGGCGAGGGTGAGAGGAGAGGAGGGAAGGAGGGAGGGCTGGGTGTAGAGGGGGTATCACCCAAAGGGCACGAGGCCACGTGGTACTTGCACACGCCAACATTCGGACTTCCAGCCTTATGCCCTTGACGAGACGGACCAGAATTCCGTGGGCAGGTCATGGTAGCTCACTCATCTTCCCCATCAATGGAGGTGTGGTCAGTTCCACTCCGCTGCACACCACACATTATAGTTATTCCCGCGCCAAAACATTATTCCCGCCCGCCAGTCATGAGCAACATGGCAACCACGGACTTGGGCCACAATCGTTTGCAACATGACGGACCACATCAAGGCGTACGCAAGCAGGCGTACGAGGGCGTTAAAGTAAATCTAGGCCAGCCGTGATACCACACCTGTTCTTCTCTTCAATTTCATTGCAATTCCAGGAAAAATCCAAGGTACTGCGATACAACGTTAGCTTCGCAAACAAAAAAAAACACCAGGAGCATTATACGTGTTCAAGTACGTAACGCTGTTTATTAATTAGTGCAAGCACATCTATCCTCGGTCATCCCAGTGCTCGTAGACGACCTCGATCAAGGTCTCTCAGCGTTAGACACCGCCCACTTAAATATATTAAATTTCAATGTATCCTTTGCATAATCAAGGAAACGCAAGCGCGTGAAGTTCATGATAAGCTTTAACAATCTGTCATTGGTAGGCTTATTAAATGTTTTAACAAAAGTCCAAGGGATGTAAACAATGGTTCAAACGCTGAAAGATATTCGGTAAAACATCATACATGCACCAACTCCCACCAATTACGCAACGCCCCAGGCATCTCAAGTAAGGCAAAATATTACCTATAAACAATAATTAAAATCAGGTGTATTTCAACATAAAAACTTGAACTCTTAGAAAAGAGACAATATGCCTCTATACTCGATTAAATGCCCCACTTTGCATGAAGCAAAGATCCTTAAATGTGCAAAGGAGGTGGGTGGGCTTGCTCGGGCCAGATGGTAAACCTGAATTCACTGAAGCAAGGTTCAGTTTATTACTACGACCAATCATTTGTCAAAATATCTATAGAGTCGGCAGCCACCGAGAAAGTTCAAATAATATGTGAAATTACCCCCTTGGACGCATTAAAGGCGGCCATGAACAGAATTTCGACTTCCAAGATCGGGGTCGTGTGAGCGTCTTGCCCGCCCAGGAAAATGGCGGAACTGCTTCTCGGAGTCTTGCTCGTGTCTCGCACGGGCCCCAAGCTGTCTTTCTACTTCGGGATCTGTACACGACAACACAACGGGCTCCTGCTGTGTGCACTCCACGCCCCTTTATAGAAGTGGGAATCATGGAGGGTGACACCAGCAGTCCCTATGCAAGTCTGACCTTAAACTGCCATAACTTCTTTCCGAATTCCTATCTTTGTATTCCGAATTTCCCCTCGCACTGACTCAGCCCCTGAAACGCAAGGGCTTTCCCTGCCACGCCCATTCTTTCCCCTTAGCCCACACACCTCATCCTAAGACCGCGAGCGAGGGGCGGTGGTGTTTCCCCTACGCACATCCAGGCAGGCAGCCTTTGCCCGCTTCCTTAGCCCAAGTAGCCTCGGTGGGCCACAAATCAATACTCTTCTCTTCTGGCCGCCCCAGCACCCGCCCGCCGCCCGCCCGCCCGCCTGCCGCCCCATAAGCCACCACCACACGTCCTTACTAACTCACAATCGCACCATTCTTTTTTCCGTCCGTCCAGCACACACTCGCTCTCCATGGACCAACTCCTCCACCCCCGGAGCATCGCGTCTTGGCCCCCTGCTCTCCCCTTCGGTCGTCATTGCGATCATTAAGACGCAGACAATCAGCACTCACGCACTGTCGCCTCTCCGGCCCCGCTTTCGCCCATCGGCACAAGTTCTCCCCTCGGCCGCCTTACTTGCCCTTGCCACGCACACGCACTCTCCCTTTGGAGGCCTTTACTCATGAGCACATTGTCCTCAGATAAGCCCTCCCCAGCTTTCATCCCTCCTATCCTACAACAAACCGGTTCTTTCCCTAACACTGACCCTTCTTTACACCAAGCAGCATGTCTCCTTGGGCACTCCCCCTTCCTTAGTCATTCTAAGATTCATCCATCCGACTCACATTTCCAATCCCGCATAAAACACATTTCACTTGCTGTTGGAGTTATTGCCAAAACTATCAGAAGTGCAACAGCTTTCTCCGAAGAGTAGGAAATCAAACATCACTTCAAATTAACCAAGAATTTCTGAAT